AGAAGAAGAGGGAGAAGAGGCGGAAGAAGAGGTACGAGTAATCCACTCCATTCTGCATGGGTCTTCAGTGAATCTTAATGGGGTAGTCAAGCGAGGAGGAGTCCGAATCCGAGTCTGAGGAAGAGGCACCAAAGGTACAATTCCGGCCAGTGTTTATTCCAAAGTACGCCAGCCCATCTCCTCCATCATCAAGCATGTCCTCTAAAACGCGTGCCGTTCAGACGTGGACGCGCTACGATCGCTGAGAAGGAAGCAATAGCTCAGGATACGGAAGAAGCTCAGAAACGGAAAGAACTCGAAGCCGAGGAGCGCCGCAAACAGAGTCATGATTTGGTTGCAGAGAGCATCAAGCGGGAGCTGGCTGAAAGTACGTTTCATTACTCGTTACTCGGTGCGTAACGTTTGACCACGATACAGAGGAAAAGGAAGCGGAAGTACCAGATGTGGATGATACAGACGGGCTTGACCCTGAAGAGGAGTTTGAAGCATGGCGATTACGCGAACTTGCGCGCATCAAGAGGGATAAAGAGGAAGAGCTAAGACGGGAAATTGAGCGGGAAGAGGTTGAGCGACGGAGAGCATTGCCAGAGGAGCAAAGACTCAAGGAGGATTTGGAGAGGGCTGATAAGACTCGAGCAGAGAAGCCGAAAGGGCAGCAGAAGTTCCTGCAGAAATACTGGCACAAGGGTGCCTTCCACCAGGTATGTATCGCTCGTTCAGTACTCACTCAGTGATTCATTTTGCTCCAAGGACGAGGAAATCCTCAAACGGCATGACTTTACTGAAGCGACGGAATCGACGATGGACGTATCGCTCTTGCCCAAGGTCATGCAAGTCAAAAACTTTGGAAAGCGCGGCCGTACAAAGTACACACATTTACTAGACCAAGATACGACTGCCACCACGGGTGGTTTTGGTGGTACGGCTCCTGTGAAATCAGGTGGGACATCAACTACTGCAGGTGGCTGCTTCTTGTGTGGAGGCCCTCATTTGAAGAAAGGTAAGTCTATTTGACGATTTCGCACCCTACCTACTCTAATGTATCTCGGCGCAGATTGTCCACAAAATAAGGACCTACCACCAAATAGGATAGGAACAGGAGCGAACAGCGGGCCTACTGGCACACGTCAGTGGGGGCCTCGTGGAGATTCCGGAAAGGACGAGGATCGGGGATCATGGCGGGATAGAGATGGCGGGAACGAGGGTTGGGGAAAATCAGGGGGAGAACGAATGCGTGGAGACGACGGTGACAGGCGGCGAGAAGATCGCAACAATGGGCCAGGGGATAGATACAACCGAACCCGGGAAAGAAGTGGAAACGCAGAGACGGACGGACGGAGAGACGAGGGCACGAGACACAATACACAGGACCGAAATACGAGGAGGCCACCGTCGTCAAGGAGGGAAAAATTGCGAAACGACGATGTACGGAAAGAGAGTAGAAAATCGCGAGAGCGTTCAGTGGAATACAACAATCGAGACGAGAAACGAAGACGGATTGACTGATGCCGTTACTACCGTTTTTTTACCTTTAAATGTTTTGTGTTCTATGTTGTATTTTCCCATATCTTTTCTATTGCCTCTGGCCCTGAACGAGCTAATAAATCCTGCCAGCGTACCAATCACACGATGTAGCTGTAATATCTCGGGAACAATAATATTACTGCGAGTTCCAATGAGAAAATGATCGCATTTAAAGGCACTCCGGAACATCCATCATATCACTTCGGACACTTCAAATGTTTTCAACACCGGTACCCGAGTTTTCCGTGCAAGAATCGACCCATCTCCTCTTGACATCCCCACATAACTATTAAACCCATGAGGCTATAGCCGGACAGACTTTAAAAAGTGGTCAGGCGGTTCCCATATCTTTGTTTTTCTCCACTCCTAGCCTCCCATGGCACGAAAAGTGAAGGTCGCAGTCGTAGGTAGTGGTCTGGCTGGGCTGACTGCAGCGTACAGACTTGCAAAAACACCACAGGGAGGGGATGTCGAGTTCGAGGTTCATTTATTCGAAAAGGTACGAGTTCCAAGTCCTTGGTTGTGTTGCGCGCCGCTATCACGAGATGAATCCAAGCCGCTGGAATATTTGCTATCTGAGCTATGTTTGGCTCAGAAATAGTAGCCCATCTGCGAGAACAGCACTTTGAGGTTGTTTGCCAGCTTCACCATGTTGCTCGTGGCTGTACCTTGGCCGTGGAAGGTGTCCAAGTCCGGGGAACCCAACGTTACATTTCGACCACAAGACGAGTTTCTGATTCTCTTTACCCTCTAATGTAGTCATCTTCGCTCGGAATGGACTCGCATTCCGTCTCCCTGAATCCAAGCAAGGGCTCCAACGAACAAAGGATTGACGTACCCATGCGCTCTTTCCAAGGAGGTGCGTTTTAAACATCGATACGTCTGCCATTTGTGTTGATTCCCCAGATGGCAGGTTACTATCCACAACTTATCGCACTGTACAAGCATCTGGGTGTGAAATTCCGGCAGGCCGACTTCTCATACTCCTTCTCCACTCTTACCAACCTCTCTGATACCTTACAACGCCAAATCACCACTACCATGATCTATAACGGCGCTTCTGGTCGGGATGGTGTCAGCATGCCGTCCAACATGTTGCCTCCCACTGCCAAATCGTCCCTACTCTCAGCACCATCCTCACTGGTTGCACATCTACATATTTATGTCACCTTCATGCTTTCCATGTTCTTGCTGGTGGTCTTTTATCTCCGGCTGGTATTATTTTCGCTGCCCATTCAAGTCCCGGAGTCAATATCGTCATCCTGGGTAGCGTTCTCGATCCCATTATGGCTCCCTTTTCCCACAAGACCACGGAACAAGTGTCTCACGCTACGCGAATGGACAGAACGGACAACTCCCAATAACGCTATCTCTAGATGGCTCAAGCTCGATGTTCAATGGCAGCATTTCGTCAAAGAGGTCCTTGTCCCGCTTTTCTCTGCTGTTTGCACAGCAGGGGAAGATCGCATATGGAATCACCCAGTGGAGGAACTTCTGGGTATGCCACCTTTTCTTCGTTGATTCACTGATGTAATCTCTCTTTGCAGATTATATTTACCTTACATTTGGCACGCACCATTATGTCGTGCTCAACGGCGTGCGTGATGTGGTGCGAAAAATTACGACTCCCGTTCCACCATCGAATATCCACCTCTCAACACCTATCGTCGCACTAGTTCCGGGGAGTCCAGATGGTGTCTCCGTCTCAACGGTCGACATTCACTGTGCGTCGAACGTAGTTTTTTCCGGCTTCGAACACGTCATTCTCGCAACCCAAGCGAATCACGCAGGCCCTCTGTTGAAGGCCTACTGTGATCGTCTTCCTGAGTCTACAAGCCCGGATTCCTCCCATCTGGATCACCACAGGGACCTTGTCGCTGCCCAGACGAGTTGTCTCGAGAACTTCGAATATTGTCGCACGATCGTCGTCAACCATACGGATTCTACGCTTCTGCCTTCATGTCCAAGGAACTGGAGAGACTTGAACCTTGTTATGACTACAGAACCTCCGTTGCAAGCAGATGCCTCAGATCTGTGTTTACCACCGACGTATGCGATGGCCACACATATCCTTCCAAAACTCAAAGGCGTATATCAAACCACCAACCCTATCGTGCCACCGGCTGCAACTACAATCTTGAGCGTCGCGCATCTTGAGAGAGCAGTGGTGACTATCTGTGGCAAAAACGCACTTGCAGGCCTTTGGCAGGAACGAGAGGAGAACAAGTGGAAGTGGGGATGTGCTGGAAGCGATGGCGGGCGCCTAGGTAGCCTGCAGGGAGCTGGGCGTTCAAGACAATGTCGGGTGCCAGGGATTTGGATTTGTGGGTCATATGCGCACTGTGGGATACCTTTGTTGGAGGGGTGTGTGGTGAGCGCGAGGAATGTGGTGGAGCAGGGAATTTGGGCAAGCGAGGACGTGGACCTTTCGACGTTGCCTCCCTTATGGTAGTAGCCGTTAACACTCAACGTCTGAAAGCTAAGCTAGTGATCCTGGATAACCAGGGATCCAGAAAAGTTGCAGCATAATGCTTTCAGATCTATTCATTTCGTGTTACCTTTCCACACCTATTTCTCTCGTTGAGAGCGATCGCAAAGAACTTACCATGGTCGCATGAATTGATATGCGTGTCCGGCAATAATACAAAGGATCAAGTCCGTTATAACCTACAATATATCACAGATTTACATGCGAAGTTTCCTTTCCATCTCTGCGTGTATATCCAACGGCTGGGAAAGTTCCGAGGCTGCAGAGAAAGCTCCGTCAATTTCAGTCTAGAGAGACAGCGATAGCGACTCACCTGGCATCATAAAGTCCGCACATTCTAATGTCTCGTCCCGGCCCATGAGGATGTCGAGATGAATGTTGGACGTCCGGAAGGCAGGCATATGCGGGTTCTACACAACGAACAGATCGTGTCGTTTCATATAAGTGATACTTACAGCATAATAGAAGAACGTACATGTCCAACTATCTGGCGTTCCATAAGCATACGCACAGGCGCATGCAAGCCGTAAGCGTTGCGTTGCAAGTTGAGCTTCAAGTTATCCTGGGTTGCCTCCCACTGACGTACGCGGCAGCATCAGCATTGCGCAAGAGTATCACACTTCGAAGACGTACATTCTCCAGTCTGTCTTTGACAGAGCTCGATTTCTTCACTTCTGCAGCAAGACTGCGAGGACCGTAGGTAAGAGTATCATGTAGGCCGAAGCTGTTCGCGGTGTCCTGAATAGATGCGACTTTGGAAGGACCAGAGGGTACGAGACGAAGAGAAGGGTCCTATGGACACGTAGCCCAGAATTAGCTTGAAGATTCCTGGCTGAAGCATGAATGCAACGTACCATTGATACTGCAGGCTGAAGGAGAGGTCGGGAAAGTAATTTCAAGGAGCTGCTTTCAAGTTCGCGCACAACGACGCGTCAGTCCCGCAGCCACGCCCTATATACAAGTATGTATTATGATATTATATTATATGTGCCCCATGGCTTAGTTGGTCAAAGCGTCCGACTGTTAGCTTGCTTGTATGAGCATAGCCGCAATCGGAAGGTCATGAGTTCAACCCTCATTGGGGCAGTTCTTTTTATGACTGGTTTACGCCCCTCGGGGCCTCGTGAATCGCAATTGGAGGTGCATATTACTGTATAAGTACTTGCCGATCTTGACTCTTGCACCTTGCTTGACAACTTGTACTTGCCTCCGAATTCAAGAACTTCAACTTTTATGCAACAAAGTTTTAAGTCGCCTACTGTACATACTGTCACGACACACGACCTTGGACCCCCTAGGCATCCGTATGAATTACTGTCTTATGAGGAAAACATAACGCGCTATGCCACGGGTAACCTCTACTACATCATGACCATATCCTTGTATACTCTAAATATGAAACTAGAGCAGTATGGAAAATGACTCAAGTATCTTCATCAACGTGCACCGACATATTGAGGGTTGTCGTCAGTTGGTGGGCTTCCGCCCATTCAACAACGCGGTCGAAGCTACGGCAAGAGTGGACAACGCTGCCACGGAACTCGGCTTTCTTCTTTTGTTCTGACCATTGCCAGACAATTGGACTGGAACAATGATTAGAGAGGCTCTGGGTCATAAAACAGATGGACCCACGTGATGTCAGATGCACACATGAGGGCCTGTCGAATGTTATCGATGCAATGGCTTATATGCTCGGGCACCTCTGCCTTTGGAATGACCCCCAGATTTCCTGTGATGGGGTCCGTATAGTATTCCGTATGCAGCGCCTTTCGTATTGTGTTCTACGTAAAGACTGCGTCGTTGGCGGCAAGGACAAAGTCTGGCAATGGAACAAACTTACCAGACAATGGAGCTCGTGAAACACAGATAGTGAGATGATGTGGTGGTTCTCATCTCCCGGAATAGCAAGAGTTTGATTTGGTAGTAGTCGGGCTTCAGATTTTGAGATGCGTGAAACACCAAATGCTAGGGTTGGTTGAACATCAGGACAATCTTCAGGTTGGTAGGCAGAGGATAGGCCCCAAAACTTACCATTGTAAAGGTCAGACCAGTCGTTATCGACCGCATTGGAAGGCTCTCCTCGATATATAGTAATGTCTTCGATGTCCGCAACGTACTTCTTCGCCTCGAAAGTCAACGCTTCCTGTGCAGGGGCTACAGTCTGTTAAGTCCGACTCATGGAAGATGCAAAAAAGTCAAACTCACAGTACAGGAGCTGCGCGTGAGAAAGATCAACGACGTCGTTAGATTTTCGCCCAAGTACTAGGGCTACTGCAGCAACAAGAAGCAGGAGGCTCTGTGCGATGCATATACTGGACAAGATCCTGATACGTTGTTGCAAACGATCCTTCGTGGCATTAACGCCTTCGTCCCGGCGAGTGTCTAGTCTATCCGAGAAGTCCAAAGAAGGGTCGGTAAGCAGTGGCTTGTATTCAATGCCGAGGTCCATTGCTATGTTTCCAATGCGAGCATTCAGTATAAGCAACAGGTTTGTGCTCTGATATAGTGATATACTTTGGCAAGAGGTACTGAGGCTGGTATCAAGGGGCCGCGTTGCTGTGAAGGTATGAACGGACAGTGTGCTACAAAATAGTTGTGAATTATGAGTTGAATTTACAATACGGAGAGTGTCATCCCTGATGTGACTGATAAAGGAGCATATGACCTTATCATATTGACAGCTGCTCGAAGAGTATAGACATACCAGCAGATGGCCCATCAGGTACATGCCACTGTGTCGAGACAACCTACTTTGACACGATTCATCAAACGAGACGTTATCTCCACCTCCCTGCGAGTCTGCCATCAAGCAAGATGATGGTTTGAGACCACTCAGTAATTGGCCTCAGACTGAATGATATGCCGCGACCATTGAGGATCTATACACATGATCAATAACAAGGCGCATTATATGCCAAACAATGGCTACATACCGCCAGGGTTGCCTGTCAAATGCTATAAACGCCGTCCTTTTCAGACTTGGGAATACGGTCTCCTCTTGTGATGTACCATGAACATGCCATATGATATGCCAGTCCTCATGACATCTGGCAGATGCCTCACGTAAAACCTCCGAACTTGTTAACGACTCGTGTAGTATCTGCGGACTGAGGTAGAGGCACTGGAAAAAGCTCTTGACAGAACCCTCCCTGCCATAATTTTGATGTGCACGTCCGATTTACCGTTAAGGGAACTTGGAAGCCTGAAAGAACAAGTATGACCGATGCTGCAGGTATAAGATGGCTCAATCCCATACCTTGATCTCTATCCTATTGGCAAGGACCCCCACCAGTAGTCAACACATCTACGTTACACCATGCAATTCTCTCTCGCCACCTTCATCGCCCTGTGCGCTGCATTCTCTTATGTCGCAGCTGCACCCATGGTCAGTCTCTATATTGGCCGTATTGAGCAGTGAACTCACACTATTCTGGTTTACAGATTGCTGTAAGCAAGCAATACCTCTGATTGTATCTATAGGTTACTGACTGGATTATTATCAGGGCCGCGACACAGAAGCAGAAGCAGAGGTCAGAGAACAGCGAATGCCATAATATCCTTTGCTAACTTGTTGCGAGACAGACACCCGACCCGGCGGACGTCATTTTCTGCTATGGCTGCACTATTCAAAACAGCGATTGAGCTCTAGTGTGGTTGGTGAAGGTAATTTGGTCATCTTTCGTGGATACATTATGCTCACCTGCCTTCCACTCGTCTTGATAGCACTGTGAAGATTGTGAAGCGAGACCGAGTGGATACTAGTCGGGAGCCTAAATTTTACAGTAAACCACATTACCTCATGTTGTCATATTTGGCTGGAAAGACGTGCCACTTCAAGTTGGAGAAGAGAGGTAGTTGTTAACCTCAGTACGACTATGTTTTTGGCATAAACCAGGTTAGCGGTTAGCCCCAAGTATCTGAGAGATATTTCGCCGATTTTCATTTAAAGAAGACCCGGTCGAGTGAGACGCGTTCCGTATTGAAAAAGTGGACGCATACGGAGTTCTTGCCGGAGAGTCGAGGGCTTAGCACCATGGGATAAAACACAGAGTGATTTTATGCATCGTCTCTGGAAATAAATCAACAAAACGGCCGAAAGAATATGGCCGTCATGGAAAAATTGCCCGTGGAAATTTACTATCACGGTAAACGTCAACTCAAACTGTGAAGTGGGCATTGATTCGCTCACCTAGTCTTCGGGGAAACTCCCGGGGATACTAAGACGTACGTCTTCATGACTGCTGGACTCCTGCGAGGCAGAATGAATTCTCGACGTCTGTAGGTCACCTTGCTTGAAGCAAGGTCCTCTCCAAACCGAGAATCGTAACCTCTTTTGTCCCCCCGGCTTCCTCCGCTCGGGCCGTATTTGTGCTATTTGATCCTTGGCTATTTCCTACACATGGATATTATGTATCAAATAATAAATGCTACGAAATTGCGAATCACATAATCCAGGACAAAACCACTCGCAGCAATATCAAGCAAGGTTACAGTCGCCCCCAGGCGGCACCTTCATCAGAAAGTAATGTGTAAATTCGATCATGACCTCCAGTAAACCAGTTCATCGCTCGATAATACGAACGACCTCGTTCAACTTCATCAAAAGCTGTCCTCCCGAGGTCGTTCTGGATATCCAAGCGAAGACTATCTCGATGAACTCGAATGAGCTATGCTCAATACAACGAAAAATAGGAGAGTCGTGAGGAACCTTGCGTGGCGTTTGCAAGCAAAAATGGACGGGAAACATCCTCAGCCGGATCTTCATATCCACGTCCAGGAACCAGGAGGGAAACAAATAGTGGATACGTGTGATCTGATGGTCACGCCGCGTTCGCCTACACGTTTGCACGTTGCAATCGGCGAGAGACCAGGTGAATAGTGAACGTGGAAGAAAGAGGTTGCTGATGAAGCGCGCGAGCCACGGTGGGGATGCAACGGTGAGCGTATTATCATGGCAGCGGTTACCACACTGCGATTGTTCATGACCAGAGATTCGTGGTTGCGAGGTCGGAGAAGTATTAGAGCCGTCGAGCGAGACCTGCTGAGTGGATACGACCGCTTCAGACGTTACACGCTCCGGTACCTCTGCCACTGATGCTACTGTCGGGGAGGAATTGTCTTGGACGCCTGAAGAACCACTGCTCTCTGCACAAAGCATTAGGACGGTCTGATCTCCTCTGAGTGCCATAGCAGTCAACATTTGCATGACTTCGGATCGGAATGTGGTAAACTCTGCTATTTGTTCATGCCTCCAACGTGAGTGCTCGCGTCGGAAAGTGTCTAGCTGCTCTCTTGACTGGTGTTGCACTTCAATGATATTTAGTACAGATTGCCTGCAAGGAAGTCATATTACGCAGGACGAATAAAGCCCAGGCCAAGAAAACGTACGAAGTGGACGCGGTGACAATTGCTATGATTGAAGATTTCAAGGAAGTCAGGTTCTCCCTTAGGTTCTGACAACGGCCAGCGGCGAGGAACCATTTGAGCTTTTTGACATGAAGCGTCCCATCCCATCTTGTTTCCGACACCTTTTCAACGAAGGCTTGGATCTCGTGCAGGGCGTCACTCAAGCGCTCTACCAAAGCATGCGTCGTTCTACCAGGAGGGATGGGAGCAAAATCCAGGACGTTGGATCTCGAAAGTTGCTCAAAGAGGCAGCCGAGTTCAACTGCGTTGTCTCGTAGTGACAAAATATTTTCGGGGGCATCTTTGATATCTTCAACGATCTCGACGATCTTGTGGATTTCATGCAAGCCAGACGCAATGATACCGATGAGCGTACTGGCAGCGTCGGCCATTCTGTATCGTTCAGTATGCCAGCGAGTTCTTGTGGGTATTAGGGAAGGTAGAAGCTGAGCAGAGGATTCAGCGTGAGATGTCCTTCAACTTGAAGTATGAAGGCTTGCCGCGCCCCTAAAGCTGCGCCGTACTGGGTGTCCTGCAGGCGGTGGTAGCGTTGAACCTTATCATGTAGGATACTAGTAGGGTTTCGACATCAACGGCAACACTCCGATTCGTTGGAGTTTGTTAGCGCGGAAACGTTGTCCATACTTCGATATCCCAAAAGAGGTTGACGTTCGCTGCGGG